ATGTGAAAATTAGTTTGGCTGTACTGTTGCCTCATCTAGGCTAGCAAAAGCTACACGTGTGCTGGTAAATTCAAGACACTCAGGATTATTCCCTGGCAGAGGCCAGCTGGCCCTGGAAGCCTACACCCAGGAAATTTGTTGCCCCTCAGAGCGGCGTGGTTACATGCACACTGTGCATGGGGAACGATCCTTGGCCAGTGCCAGCTCCTGAGCTGTGCCTGGGAACTGTTTGGGCACTTGGTTTGGGCTAAAACCATGCCCTGGAACATTTTACAAATGCAGCAACTCAAGTGATGCTTTGAAACATTCCGGAGGTCTGTTTTTAAGGTGAACAGCCTAAACGTGGCCTCAATATCCAGCCCAGTATAAACCTTACTCCGGTACCACACTGCAGGATCAGGCAATAAAGGAGTGTTTGGTTATAAGCAATCATGAGAAAAACAGAACTGTTTGGATACTGGGTTTAAACCCCAAAGCACTTTTTATTGTTACAGTCTCAATCTCGATATTCTGCTCATGAATTATTATGATTTCAAAATTTCAGAAGGCTGAACCTTTACAGACAAGTGACTTTTTAAAGAATAAATTGTGAACATTTCCTTGTAATCATGTTTTTTTTATTTATTTATTTTTTATTACTGTTAAGTTTTATAAAATCACACCATAATATATTAAAATGTGTAAGAATTTGGGAATGTCTGCAATGAACTATGAGCAACGGGTAGATCATTCTGCCAATTATTTATGGAAAAGAGATGTTCCAAGCTGTATATCTGCTCAGATAAAAAATTTATATATTCTGCATAAACTTTAGAACTGGAAGAATTTTGTGATTTAGCTGATTAAAAGAAATGCTGGGGCAATATATTTCTTCTGTTATTTCATTTCTTATTTATTCTAAGCTTTGTAGGCTGACTTTTTTGATTATCTAGGGAGTACCAACTATGCTGAAAACAAAATTTGTCTGCTGTGAGAAGTTAAATTATTTCCCTGGCTTAAGTCCAGAGAAAATGTTTTTAGTTGGAAATATGCAAAAGAGCTGGTGAGAACTATGCACCACCCTTCTTTAAGTGCACATTGTGAATATCTCTAGGGAGAGCTCCAAGGGGTTTAATACATGATGGCAGGGGGAAGATAGTTTTACATACTATCCCATGAGGACTGAAGTATTGTTGGCCTATAAGCTGACTCTAACTGCCAGAGCAGACTTACATTTCAGAAGGTCATCTATGAGCTTTGCTTAGCATGTACATAAGAGTTCAAAGTAGGAAAAAGCAAACAATTCACTTTGGATGAAACGGAAGATTCTCTTGCTTCCCACCAAAACTCAAAAGAATATTGATGCCTGGTCAAATGAAACAACTTCTTTCATTTAGGAAAAAAAAAAAAAAAAAAAAAAAAAAAAAAAAGCTTCATTAGTTTCTGGGAAAATTCTGGGGAAGAAGGGAGTTTTATGAAAAATATAAGTAAATTTTAAAATAAACTATTTGAAATGCTATATTGAATACATATTGACATTATCTGGACTGGTGAAGTCAGGGTATGGATCAGGTGATCTGTTCTCATCCAGCAGATTAAAACACATGAGGCAAGGAAGTGAAACACTCTTCCCGCGTTGCTCTGTGGGTTACTCTGAAGTTTTTTGTTTTTAAATTCCAGGCCCACCCCCATGCATTTCTTTACCAGAAGCAAATCTGTTCTTTGATGTGAACCTCCACAATTCCTGAGATCGACGGTTCTTTTCCTGCTGGTATAGCACATTATAAACACCACAGAAGATTTCATTTTACTAGCATTACCTTCAGAAGTATGCCTCCCACTGACTTCACTGATAGCAAAATGAGATATTGGTACCGAACACACAATTCTCTTATGAAAGCAAGATCTGCACTGACTTCAATGGAAAATTTTGCTACTAATGGAGCATAGGATTGAGCCCAGTAAGATGATTGCAAGAGTACACTTTTCACCTTGATGAAAACAGAAACGATGGAATAGCTCTCCTTAGCTCTTCTTTTGTGAACAGATTTCCTACACTGCAATAATATTTATGATATTTACTTTGGGAGTATCATTTATCGAGTCAGAGATTGCAAAACGTAAATGTTAGAGCTTAATAGTCTGATCTATTTGGAATGCACAACAGTGATCGCCTAAACTCTTTCAACCTCCTAGATGCATCAGGAGTGCTCTTAATTAGACTTGGTCTTTAAAACAAAAGAAACAAGTCTGTCTAGTTGTGTAGGGATATAATTTTAGCAGCTACATGATTATTAGATATTATTCATGCCATCATACATATCATTCTTAGCTTGGGTGTAAGATTATGGGTTTGTATTCTGTATTTGTGCTTGAGAGTAATGCTAATGCCACCATTATGATTATTAATGGATCAGTAACAGATGCCGTGCAGAGCAGCAGTTGTATGGTGTTCTTGGAAGAGACTTCTGAATAGGGATGTGATGCAAATATTACTCATTCCTGCCTGAGCATTAAAGAGAACAGCAGAATTTGTTTAAAAAAAAAAAAAAAAGTATGAACAGACCCTGGAAAACATATGTTCCTCTACTACAGAAGTCTGTAAGGCGATAATTTCTTAAGGAAACTACAGGGATTTCAAAAATGGCTTTGATAAACTTGGGAAAAGCCAGCAGCAAACACCTCTGGCAGACCCAGACAGGAGAGCCTAGGCAGCTGTGGCTCAGTCTGCTGTCCAGACTCACTCAACACAGCCCTCTTCCAGTTGACTCCTAAGCCATGCTCTCCAAATCCATCTGACAAAGCTACCAGCTTTCTTTCTTACTCTTTTCTTTCCTCCTCCAGGACTTGATGCACCTGCAGGAGGTAGATCTTTGTACCACCCTGGGTGGCACATACCCCACAGCAGCATAGCTCTTTTCCCTCACAAGGGCACATGGCACATCTGCAGCAGCTCCCACACCAGCGCCTTCCTCATCAGAGGAGAGAAGGATCCCACAGGCTGTAGCCATTTCACTGCATGGAGTAGCAGGTGGGAATCCACTTCTGTAGAAGACTTTGGTCTTGCCTGCTCTTGCAGTCTGTGCGTCAGGTGGGGATGGACGATACCCCTGGCTTTAGTGCAGAAGATGTCAACCGTCAGCATGGAGGAGGGATGGTGTTTCTGGGGCTGTATTTCAGGATCGTCGTTTTCCAGCTTCGGCCCAGCTGGGCATTCTAGTTTGAATGCAAAAGCTCTTAGATTCAATTAGGCCAAACTATCAGAAACAATTAGGAGTGCAAAGATTTCTAAATTAAATGTAGCTGAAGGGTGAAACATACATTTTCACATGGCAGGGATGCCAGATGCCAGGGGAGGCCTGACAGGACCGTTCTAACTCACTGTTACGAACTCCCCACTGACAGCAGGAAAAGGTTTAGCCAACTCGAGGCATTATATAAGATCAAAAATAAGGTTAGAGTGAAATTACAATTAAAAAGTGCTAATTGAAGCACAAGCGCAGTAACTGCTAGAGCTAATTAGAAAGGGACACAATTTTTGCGTACCCGTCTCTCGCTCAGAACAGGATCTGCCCCAGTTCAGGTTCTTCACATCACTTGATTTCCACTCGGAGCAGCTTTTGGCAGCTTGACAGGTGTTTGGCAAACACAATTTCCCATCTCGGCATTTTAGCTTAACATACTTCAGGGAGATGAAGGCTTACCAACATGCAGCATTCCTCCATGATATATTATTTAAATTAAAACCCTGTTTTATTGCAATTTAGTGTCAGGTAAATAAGAAATGTCCTGTAGTTGTATGCAGGTACATCAGAGCTAAGACTTGAATGCCTTCACGACAAAAGAAATTCAAATAAAAAAACCTTGTTGGTCAGGCGATAATTTAAGACTCTTTATAGCAATATTAAATAATGATTCCAACTGTGTCCAGTAAGGAAAATTAAGCCTTCCTTCTTTTTATATGTTTTAGTAGATATTAGTTCTGTTGTGTAATACAGCATTCTTGGAACAACAAAATGCAAAGCACTGCAAAACCCATCTTCTAAATCTCTATATGCTTTTATTCCTCTTATCATGTAGATACTGTAAAAGATAATCATATGCTATTATGGGTGATTTATTCGTGTTTGTACAGGTCTTTTAAAAAGTGGGAAATAGCTGTATTATCATTGCAATTTTTTGCTATTTTTGCTATTCTTTTACATTTGTCAATTTAGCACAGGGTAGAACAGAAAATGCCACTTGCTAAATAACAACTCCTCTCTCTAGTAAAAGCAGGAAATGGGAGGAAGGAAACCTTGCATTAGAGGGCTAGCTACTGAGGAAAAAAATAAATCACAGCACAACTTCACCCACTATTATTTAGTTTTAAATAAAACTAAAATCCTTTACCATTTTTGGACTTCAGTAATCCATACACTTAGGTATGCACAAAACCAAAGAATGTGTTACATACCACTGCATGAGAATAGGACCTATAAAAATCAATGCATTTTAACAGTGACTAGGAAGGAGGTAAAAATGGGAGGTATTTCACCCACTGATAACCTTAACTCTGAGTTTTCCAATTCAGTAATACGTAAAGTTTTAGAATGCGAACATGCTAAATTCTTGGTAAGTATTTATACAATTTGAACCAATTCATTTTTCCCAAGTATTGCAGCTACTGAAGCTCTCTCTCTTTCTCTCTCTTTTTTTTTTTTTTAAGTGTGTTAGCCATAATTATCATTGATTCCCATCCGTCCTTTTGTAAGTCATGCTTACAAAAATACAGAACTGACTATTATCCTCATGTTGAAATTATGTGATTTAGAGAGTGGAAATTGCTTATAAGAAGTGTGCTAAGAGTTCATAAGAATGGTGACTGAGTGACAGAACGACATCAATACATTTGGCAATGCAGTTTTTATTTTCATCAGCACTAGTCATATTAAATATTTATAAAATACTAAATCAATATTGTAAAGAGAAAACATTGTGCAGCTCAAGGCAAAATGAGACAATTTTTTTTTCTATTGCAGCTGGTCTACTGCAGCTTTCCCCAGGAAAAGGACTGAGCATAATATTGTAAGTATGGTATCACAGACACTAGCAGAACAAAGTTATCTCAATATATACCTGTAACCACACCTAGGAGACCAAGCCACAGACCAAACTGTGACTAGATTAGGAACTGTGTGGAGATATAAAACTGTTCCTAATCCAAAGAAATTATAAAACGTGTATGCTAGAGAAGATACAGCTGTGCTATTAGACTTGAATAGGCCTTTCTATGGAAAACCTTGTAAAAAAATAAAAATATAAAAATAAGCATTTGTAAGATGCAGTTTTCAGACCATGTTAGGCTAAAAAGAGGTAGCAAAGGAAGAGGCAAAACAGGGATAGTTTAAGGAACAAACCAACCTTATGTGCATAGTTGTATCACTTCCCAGACCAGGTCAGGCTAGTTGAGGTATCCACCTAATTGAATCTGTTATGCTGAAGGTCAGACATATACCATTTAAAAAGCAGAGTAATAAATGACATATGTCCATTCATGTTTGGTGTAGTGCAGCCTCATGTTACTGATTAAACATTAAGAGAAGACCTCTATCCATCAACCTAGAAAAAAGACTCGGGAGACACCTTCTAGTACCTAAAGGGGCCTGCAGGAAAGCTGGGGTGGGACTCTATGAATGAAAACAAAGGGTTGGTGATTTTTTTTCTTTTTTTCTTTTAGCAAGTTCCATTTCGGAAATGGAATAATGGTAAAATTTCAAATGCCATCAGAATATCTCAGCATAATTAACTGCCTCAAGACTCTCTGAAGCAATTTGGTTGCCTATTATAATTTTCAAAAAGATAGGGAAAAAATCACACTTAACCAACTTAACTTTAACCAACTCAAGTGATGCCAAGTAAAGAAAAAGTTAGGCATATGTGTGATTGTGTAGATTATCATATTATTTTAAAATGCTTTCATTAGAGATATGTAAAGTTAGAACAGGGGGTCAAAATAAGCCAACAAATCAAAAATATAGGTGAGTATGTTTGCTAATATACTCACGTTTGTAAGAATAATAGATTTCCTTTTTGTCCTTTAAGAGAATCACAGAAAACTAATGTACTCGATTAATTTAATTACCACATGTATGAGTCAGGATTTTAAAGTTTTTCTCATGCTTGTTGAAAAGGCAGGATATGAAAGGAACACTAGTTGGACATTAAGTGGAATTAATGAATTCCAGTCACTCTGATGGCACGGGAGGATTTGTCTGTAAATACCAGTTAGTTTGTTGTAGTGAAGGAATGATGATTTTCAGAAACTAATTCCGTTGCATGCTGTAGTAATCTCTTGCCAGTCGCTTTTAATATAGTTTTAATGCCACCCTATACACTCCAAAAATATGCTCATTCTCTCTAGCAAGATCATAGAAGATGGTACAGGTGAAGTATTTTTCCATTTTGATTTTTAACATGACAAAGCTTTCAACCTTTAATGAGGTTTCACTGCGTTACCCCTAGATGGCAGTCTATCAGGACGGAACTAAAACTAAATTCCCCATGAGTAACATCTTCCTGATGCTCAGCTTTTTTTTTTTTTTTTTTTTTTCTTTTTTCCTTTTGCTTATCAGTTAATTCAAAATGTTGCAAGATGAGGATGAACTTACACTTTATTTCTTTGGCAGCAATAACAGGTAAAAACAGGGAGAAATAGTATTCCCAGTGCTTTGCATACCGCATTGGCTCGGAAAGTCCTGTTTCTAAGGTCATGAATAATCTTTGCTCATCATCACATGATGGCTGATCACTCCTGTTCTTTTTCCTTTTTTATTTTTACAGATGATCCCTTCTGAATATCTTTCTGCTGGCATAACTGCAACATGTACTGCTGAGCTGTGTTTTTGCTGTTGCGGTCCAACAAGCTGGAGGGAATGCAACTCACTTGCAAAAGTTTCCTGTCACTATTTTAAGTGTTCTTTCCTTTGGAAAGATAGTATTAATGTAAAATGATCGCCATTTTCTTGTTTCTGACATTTGATCATCCCCTGAAGGTTTCTCTCCCCAGTGGCAAAGTTGTTATATTTCTCTGAAACCCCACTTCTTCATTTTTGTTGTACTCCACATGCCTAGATCTCCAGCCACATGGCAGATCCAATACACTTCCAGCCTAGAAGATTACAAGAAGTTGTGTATTTTAAATATTGTATTTAATTTTAATATTTTTAATATTAATTAATATTAATTTTAATATTATATTTGATATTATGTTTAATATTATATGGTTGCTCAAGGACTGTGTATGGGACTGCAAATGCATGTATGTATGGGACAGGCATGCTTGGCTGGACCTCTTGGCACCCAGGCACATACCCCGAGTATGATGCCAGCTGCCTGGGGTCAGGTAGGCTGCAGGGGTGAGGTGCTCTCACTGCTGCTCCCCGGACCCTTACTCAGAAAAGCATAGTCTAGGAGATTCCTTCATAGCTGGCCATTGCAAAAGAGTGGAAATATTTTCCCTTAGTTCCTCTGTATATCAGTGGATTCTTGCTAAAACAGGAATGACACCATCCCCCTCTCCCAGAGGAACGATGTGACGGTACATTCATTCAGTCGTCTGAAGCACCTATAGCAAGGAGCACAGGAAGAGTCACAGGAACATGTACATCATCCAAGCTGAGCTGGGAAAAGGACCAGCAAACAAGGGAAGAGGCATCCCACAGAACAGCATGATGATCAAGAAGGGAATAGGTGCTCAGGAAGTGACTTCATCCACCCTGGTCACACAAGGACCAGTGAGGAAAAAAAATATATATATATTTTTAAGACTTATATCACAGTGCTGATTCACAAAAGGTGCAAGCTAATGTGTAACCCATGTATAGATGTGCACACTTAATGTCTTTACTTTTGAGACAGTTACTTTGTAACCTTACCAATGTACCATTAACAATTTTGTTAATATTATCAAAAAACTTTGTCTTATTCCCACACACAAAACAAAATTTGGCATTGTTTTAAACTACAAAACAAACAACAACAACAACAAAACACATTAGCCTGACTAAAACACTCTTTAACTTTTCAGCTGTGTTTATCCTACAAGGCCAAAAGTGAGCATTTCCTATCTGAGAGATGCTCACAGCTTTGCAAAGTCTTTCAAAAAGCAGTGCAGTCTTGTACTGCTCTCAGCATTAATAACTATATAAAGACTTTGGATACTTCAAAAATAAACAAACAAATAAAGCACATCACTGAAAACTGATTTAGCTGGTTTCCAGTCCTTATCTATATGCTTTCCCATGGACAAGTAACTAAGGGTACCATTTCCATCTTGCATCAAGGACTGATGGATACCAAATGCATTTTACAAAGAAAAATGGGAGAATAGTAATTGTGAGTGGAGCTACAAAAGAAGACATTTAGCATATGTAAATTTGTCCCATGACTGCTGACCATATTGATCCCAACCCATTCCTGTCTCATTTTCATTGATAAGGGACTTGGTACTAAAAGAAAACACAGCGTTTCTTCTAATGCTTTTGCTGATTAATGATATGCAAATGAGTATCCTTATTAGATATTCTCACAAACAGTTGTAGGGAGGTAAATATTCACAGAGGACTTAACGTAGTGCCCAGTACTGTCTATGCGCTCCCAATTAGCTTCAGAGAGATGGCATTTTTAGTGCCATAGAAGCCAGCGTTCAAAGTACAAACACAAAATAGGCTTTGTCTCAAGGGAGATGCAGACAAGTTCCTAACTCTACTCAGACTCCGCAGATCATATTTCTTTTTTCCCTTAGCTAGAAAAGATTTCAGTGCCTGTCAAAACAGGAGACTGAGGGTAAGATAACACCTCTTTTTTATTTTTTTTCTTTTTCTTTCTTTTTCCTGGAATTACTTACTTGGGCTACAAACAGCTCAAGTTCAAATGTCCTCCACACAACACTCAAATCCCAGGAGTATATGCTGGCCACTGAGATATGCTGATGGGAGCCTCTTTCAACCTCTTTTGCTGAAACTTTATCAAAATTTGACTGGATAAGGTGGAGAATCAGACCCATCGGAGTGCTGCAGAAGCCTGCACAACACATCTGAAAGAGGCATGTGAGCTCTGCTCTCTTAAGTAACTATAATAATCTCATATGATGTTGAAAATCTTTCAATATGGCAATGAGAATTTCCATGAAAAGATATCCTTGTGCCCACTAATCAAAGTTTTGCAATGTGGGTTAGAAATGTTGGTTCAACTTCCTTCCTGAGGAGGCTGGTTTTCCTCAGACTGGCTCTTAAGCAAAATCAGAGAAAGGACTGACCACCAGTGCTTTTTCTTCTTGGGTTTCCAGCATATTAAAAGTTGGTATGACAAATGCTCCGTTTCTGGTAGGATTTTTTCTATTCCTTCTGTTGACCCACACTTCCTTTCCTTTCCTTGCATATATTTCCAGGACTGGCCTACCACTTCAATGCCTTGCTCTCTTCCTGTAACACTGCTGAGCTAGCAAGTAGCAGTAAAGAAGAAGAAAAGAATGAAGATACAGGGATTTGGAAGAGTTGGGAGTGCTGCATTTCTAGAAATTTCATTTCAAAGCATTGCTAAAAAAAACTTGCCAGTCTGCCCATGTCATTGGTAATCCAAATGAATACTCTGATAAATAGAGATATTCTACTTATGGGATAGAAAATGAGGCCATCTGGGGAGAGGTGTCATTATGCATTCCTAGCTAAAGACAAAGAAGGGAGGGAGAAGGAAAAGTGTTCTGATGGACTTAGCAAACAATTAGCTGTGACAACAATTAGAGTAGTAAATTATATTGTCTACAGTGGCCTAGATACATTTTCTTCTGTTGGAACTGGAACAGTTCTTAAAATTTCCCGAACACTCGGAAGCAGGTGTGTTTTATGAGACTGGGAAAGCTAATTTTGGAAGAAATAATTGTGAGTCTTTGGTATCAAGCCAGTCACAGTTTGGGAAGTGGAGGCTGATTAATGGAGGAAGTATTTTTTTTTTTCCTGCTGTTACTTTTTTTTTCCCATTTAATCTCTACTGTGTAGAACTGGATCAGGGCAGCTACCACTCAAAAATGTCCCTGGGAAGGTAAGCAGCATGTTACACACCTCTTTGCATGCAGATGTTAGCTTCCTCTGCTAAGTTTCTATTTTCTGCTTTTCCATAAAATTTCATGCTGGGTTATATAATCAAGAAGAAAATGAGACAGGAATTAATAAAAACAAAGATTCAGCAACATGATAATGGAATGTAATGCTGCTGCTATTTCAAAAACCAGGGCAGGGAAGAAAGGGAGGAAAATGCTATCAACAAAAGATATTTGCTGTTCTTCATTTCTTCATAGACATGTTTCCTGGAACTTCATTTTCCCCAAACAGATCATTTGATCACTTCTTATTTCTTCAATAAGACCAGTTGCCTCAGTGATTTTCTCACAGTCTAGATATCCGAGAACTTGCAAGGTCATACCACATTTAATACTACCTGGAACTAAGTTTCGCTTGTAAAGTGGATGAAAGGATAATGACAGATTCAAGGGCTGATACAGAAGAATGTGTACATCTGTGAGCTGGGTCTAACCACAGCAAGAGTTAACAGAGCAGATCCCCCAGCCAGCAGAGGCACTCACCTCAGCTAAGGTTATGAGCCACAGATGAAAAGAATAAAAAAAAAAACTCTTAAAAGTCAACTGTTCCCGTGGCCACATCCATTCTTTACAGTGTTCACAAAGAACACTGACCAGGTGTCCTTTTGCTCTTTACTTGTTCTCCAAGGAGGTAGGTTAGCGTTAACATGACATCTCAGTTAGCTTGGCTGCTAGCGGTGTAGTTCCTTACTGCAGCTCTTTACTGCAGCTGAGAAAAGACTGTGTGTCTTATTAAGAGCTGGCTTTGTGATGCATGCTTGGAAATTCATAACTTTTGTATTTATGAGGCAAAGAACAATATCATTATCTTGTCTTAGAGTTCTCTCATAACAAGACTTTGCTGTACAAAATTGTAACTGTTATTTCCTTCCTCTGCCACTCTTCCAAAGAGTTACCTAACAGACTGCTAGACTGATTTGTATAAAGACCTAACAGCTGTTCCCTTGCTATGATTTTCCCTTCAGGGCTGTGGAGTGTAATAACTTTCTGTAAAAGAAAAGCAAATTAATCATGATAATTTTTCAATGCATCCTCACTCCTCATACAATTTGTCATTAACTATTTATCACGTAGGCACTACAATCATCAGTAACGACAAATGCAAAGACAATGGACTCATCACCTAGCTTTGAGGCCTTCTTACTGCTGCTGCTCAAGGAAAAATATCTGGCTGTAAAGAGAGGGTTTTTTTTTTTTTGTTTTGATTTTAATTTATCTGTATATAGGACAGGCGGTTATATCCAAATTACAAAGAAGCCTCAGGGGAGAATACGAAGTGAGACACAAGCAAGGGTTGTTTGTTCCCATGAGTGATATTATACATTTTTGTGTACAACAATATATGGTTAAGAAGTGATCATTTCTGCATACCCATTGATGAAATAAGAACACAAGCACAACTGGTAGTTTTCATTCCAGCCTGAAGCACTCAGGCTCTGCCTGTTCAAGTTGTTACAAACTGCTCTTTCCATGGTCAAGTTGCATGACCCCTGCACTGTGGGCGGTTGCCTTTTTCCCCAGCAGAACGTTCCTGTTATCCTCGACACACTACAGCATGTTTCCTGGTTAGAAATCTTATGTTGCCAGCTGCAGCTTCCTGATAACCTCAGCAGCAGGGCCACAGAACAGCTCGCACATACATTTTACATACGTCTGTCTCTTCACCTGCTGCTCTCTGCAAAGAAGGTGCACTGGAGAAGAAACTGAAGCTCTGACTCTCTGTCACCCCTTATTTCACAGATTTGTCATCCCAACGCTACATACCAAATGACCATACACAGCTCCACATCCACCTTGGCCACACCGTACAGCTCCACAAACACCAGCCTCTGCAACGTGGCTGGAGGCCCTTTCCTTCTCCGCTATCTTTTCCATCTCTTTACTCTCTGCTATAGCACAGGTTTGAGATACTTGTGAGTCAGCTCCTCAACAGGTGCAGTTTGCAGTCATGATGTTAATGCTTTATAACCAACATCTGTTAGAGTTTGTAGGGCATGACAGGTCCAGGCACCCATTACATCCAATTGCAAGTTGCCTGATGAGCATCCAGAATATGAGCAAGTCACTAGTCTTTTTTCTCTTGTGCTCTGGATTACAGTTTGATCATTTCTTCCAATCATATGGAAACACGACAAAACTTTGGAAGAATCAAATAGTGTTGAAAAAAGAAGGAGGCAGGAGCAGTACCCACAAGAAACATGATGGGAGACGTATGGGAATGGGGAGAAGGAGCTCTGCTCAGCTTCCTTTCTGTGAGGCTTCAAGACCTTTCCTTTGTATTTAGCCCTATCGGACTAATTATCCTTAACAGGAAAAGTGAAGGACACACTCCAGGAATTAGTACATATTTTCCAGTTTCCTGGTAATAAATAACGGAAATGTATCTGATTGAGGATATAAGTCAACACATAGGTGTGTTTTCTTCCTTACAGCCAGGAAGTCCAAGTAGTTGAAGTCTATTTTTTTTCTGCTATCCTACTCTTGTGATTTTAAATATCTTGGAAACTTCAGAAATATTGTAAAGTTATCTTCCAATTTCACTTGGCAGATTGCAAATTGTATTGTGAAATTTGCCTGTTAAAAGTGAAGGTTATTTTTGTTAGCTAGTGTGTATTGATTATAACTTCTGATTTTCCTTCCTCTGAACATAAGTCAGAAGAAAACACATAGAAATTCAGACCTTATAAGAGAAAACTGCTAGAAGAGCCCAAGATGTCCCGTATCTGCAAATAAATATGACTAGGAAATAACCAACAATAAATAAAAGTTATTACTGAAAATCCTCCTCTAGGAAATCTTGTCAAGTCTGATCAAGCTTATTTTAATAAGGCATAAAAAGCCTTTTCGGAGATGATGAAGTAAGCCTGTAGAAAAGTTAGAGTGAGCCTCTAAGTGAATTATAGCCCCTGGCCTTTGCCATAAAAAACAGACCTAACAGGATCTTTGGAAAAAAAAAAAAAAAAAAAGTCAACCTGACAATCTTGGGGTTGTACCTGTTCATTTTGTTTTAAGACCCCAACCCCAGGACTGAACTTTTAGAAAACCTAGATACACCACGCCTGCCACATTACTCACATGAAAAGGGAAAAGTTCCATGTATGAAAGATCTTGATGGAGTCCTTAAATGAGTTAAAACAGATGTTTTCAAAAACTGCAGGGTGTGGTGCATGTAAACAAAGGGAAAAAATGACAAAGCTGACAAACAGGAGATGGCTATGAATCACTGAAAGTTATGTGCTGAAAATGCAGAGGGCATAAGCAAGAATGTGAAGATTCCAGAATAGGGAAGCAAAAAAAAATTGTCAACATTTTACCATTTTGAAGTAATTTATCAACATTTCTCACCCTACACCTTGTTTTGAAGCAATCAAATCATATGAAGGACAGATGGGTGACCCGCTACCTTAAAAAAGTCATGATGGTAGCTGAGATCAGCTGCGGCCTCGTCCGAACACAGCTGCTAGCTTTCATCTCTGAGCTGAGCAAAGCCTGAAGAAATTCTTGGTTATGCAATTCATTCTGTCTGCAGCCCAAGTGGTTCATTTATAACCACTGCTCCTCTCAACGGTGGGCTGTTAATTCCAGCCCTCACAACTTTGTGTGGAGTCTGGAGTGGAAATGACACATTGTTTGCAGTAATTCAAAAATCTCTCTATATATGGTTTTGTCATAAAATTCAGCTCTTAAAGCCATGTGATTAAGGGAGAATCCTTTGTGTGTTTTTTTTTTCCCCTTAATTCATCACTGTCATGGTTTTAGAGAACCAGTTGAAAATATAACTGTGAATGGTAAGTGCAGAGTACAGTAAGACAAAACATGCTGACTTTGATTTTATGATTCTAAGCCACTACCATAGTTTCTTTTGTTGTTGTTGTTATTTGTTTTACAATACAACATATACATGTATGTAGTGGTGAGTCTTAGGCTTGTCCTGTGCAGTCTGACCCTGCCTGAGCAGCAGGGTCAGCAGTGAAATCACTTCCAACATCAGCAGTTTCGTGCTTATCTCAGTCACTTCATTACAATTTTAAAGGGGCTCACCTCATAAACAGAAATGACAAATATTGTTTTCTGTTGCTATGTGCTGATCATTTCCCAAACACTTCCCCCTGTGAGTGTGTGCACACATGCATGCTGTTACATACAAACACAGGCACAGATGGTCTTTGCTCTTATCTAGTCTATGCAAATAACGACTTGGGTATATTAAAAAGAATAATCAGAATTATGTTTAAGTACCTGTGTCAGAAAGATAACGTGAGCCAATATGAAAATGACATTTCATTAATCGTATTAAGTCAGCGACAAACATGAAAAAAGTGAATGTGTCGTTCTCACAATTCTCTCCAAAGCAATTTGTTACACACATCTGGATTGTCACATATTTCCTCCAAAAAGGTTGTGAAGTCTGTGAAACAAGCCTTCACATGCAAGCCCTCCACCTCCTGTTTCTACTGCGATCATGCTTCTGTGGGTCTGAGAGGCACAGCATTTCAGAAGACTCCTAAAACATGGACGTCCAGTTTAATTCACCATTCCCCAGCAGCCTTGTGTCAACATGTCTTGAGTAGAGCACCTGTCATGCCTGATCATTACGAATCTGAAACACAGTACGAGATCAGTTGATTGGATTGCACTATGCACTGTATAGAAATCATAAACTACAAGTTATGTTTAAAGTAAGTAAGCACACCTTGCCATTTTTCAAAATAGCTCCTTCACACTGTCTCATATGTTGCTGAAGATGCTGGCTGGTCAAGTACCCCTAGTTTTAGGGCAACTCCTCCCAGCAATTTATTTCTGCTCTGAAAGCTGTAGTACTAAAGAAAAGGAAAGAAATCATATACATTCACATACATACTGTTCATATACAATAAAAAATACAGTTTTATTTCATTTAAAGATGTTACAAGGTGTTCAGTACAGTGACTGCCCTGCATTAGAGAGAACTGTAGGTCCAATTACGAAAATATTGGAGTTATGAATCCAACAAGAACCATACTAAATGGCAAATGTCAAGACAATCTTCTGATAGAATATAATTCATGAATTGAAGCTGTTTCCACCCTCTTTTTATAGAAATCCTAGTCTATCACAAGACTTGTCTGTTAGGTACGTGCTTTCTGTTCCTAAAACAGCTGAGTGTCAAGCCCACACTAATGAAGAATTGCTCTGCCAGAACCACAAGCCTCAGGAATGCATGGCCTGGAGGGAGTGGTAACCAGTCATTGAGAAGCTGTGAAGAAGATTTTGCACTTGCTCATCATCTTTAATGATTTTTATTTATTTTTTTTATTTTTTTTTTTTTACCTCTTCTCCCATTCAAAACCAAGGTCTCTATTTCCAATTTCAAGTACCTCTACATAACACAGAAGGAAAGGTTTGCAACCTGAGACCAAATGTCAGCATTTTTCAATATTTTCACTAAGCAGCTCTCTTTATGTGAAAAGTTACTCAGTTTAATACAGCTGCTTGCAGGGGTATTATTTATTTCCTTGCTATGTAAACTTAAATGTTCATTGAAGTTGCCTGTAAAGAAAATATGTCTATGACTAGAGGAAACAGTCCTTAGTTTATGGACTAAGTATCTGCAAATGAATGCGTATCTGAGACATGAAGATTAACACTGCCCTTGTACTACTCTGCGCGTTGCAGTGCTTCAGCATTGAACATACACAGAACCCACTTAGCTGGTACCTAGGCTGCAAGTCTGCGGTTCCAAACACTGCCTGTGCTGAGCCTCCCTGTAAACTTTTTGAATTTAGCATCTGGAACCACATCAACTTCATCTGGCTCTTACAAACATATTTAGCAATCCAGCAGTATGAATGCAGTGATCTTTTTGAAAACCATCACCTGTCGAATGGTAGGTTGTTTTACTGGACAAGTTCAACATACATGTATCTGTATGTCTTACACCATGTCTTACACCATGACATCTACCTCTCATCCACTCATCTCATGAGAGCGTTCACTTGTTAGCATTTTACGGAGAAAAAAAAATCTTCTAGCTGCAAAGACAACTTCATCGCTTTAAGCTACTTAAACTTTCTTTCTGTGTCCTTTTCCTTGGGAAAACAAAATAACTTAAATGAACAACAATCACAACATTAAACAGAAATAAGAACAACATTTGCTGTTGCCCATTCACATTAATCAAATATTAACAATGTGTTTGTAGTAAATATTTATGGAATGCTTACTCTGGTGTCCTGTGAACATACTGTAATTCTTAACGCCCAGCTGAAAACCAGATGTTTAGCTCAGATACACTACAATACCATTAAATAGTCCTTCAGTGTTTATGTATTAAGTGAAATTTGCTTTCTATTTACCAAAATTAATTCACTCACTCTTAATTCTTTTTACAAATATTTAATTTTCCATTAAAAAAAAAAAAAGCAAAAAAGCTGTAGGATCACTGTAAGCTAGCATTTCCCTCTAGTTTTATCTATAGATGTGTTTATCTTTCTGGTCTGTTGTCCAGAATACACAGATCTCTATTGTATTGCAGGCCAGCTTCATGAAGAGGCATAAACATGATTCCCAAGAGTCATTACGTGTTTTACCCAGAGACTGCCTTGTGCAAAATAGAGAAACAGGCCAAAGAGCTGGGCACCTCCCTTGAGCACCTCTCCAGGCTGGAAGCTCTCAGTCCACTAGGCTTATCTCGTCCTTCTGCTGCTTACATCCGTGGCTGTTTTGTGGGAAGGTTCATTACAAGGGCTCAAAACTTGCTTCTCACCCACTCCGTAGCTTGGTGAAGACAGACTGTGTGAAAGCACAGACATACCATACTTGCTTGGTACTCCTGAAGGACTGTTGAAGCAGTGCTGAAGCAACACACAGGAAAATGTACAAAAAGTAAGAAATAAAGTATACATCATTACTCTACTTTTTTCCTTACCTAGTTAGCAAGTGGCATTCACGTTATTTTCTCTAGAATGAATTTCCTGGGCAGAAACTCAAATTTAGTCTAGAACAAAGCAGCTATATTCTAATTGTAAAACCTTTGTTTTTTTTCCACACAGGAAGGAAATGAAATGATCTCCAGCTATATGTGTGAGTCATACCATGCTGACAAAAGACAAATGGGCATGCTTATTCTGCAAGACTTTTTTTTTTTTTTTTTAAAACTTCTCATTTGCTGTAAGTGTTCTCTTAGCTCTCTCCTTCGTTATACTGACATGAGGTGAAAACAGCAAGACAGCCCAGGATGTCTGACTTGTTAGATTTGCCATGAGCTGTGCAACTGTAACAGACAAATATTTCAGGATCTCAAAGGTTTGAGCCAGATAAAACAGAGACTTTTAGAAGTCCATGCTCAGGGCTCCATCTCCTTAAATCACATTTTAAGTACATTGTCTTGAGCATGGGAGTAGGAAAGCTTTGAGTTGGTGTTGTTACTACAGAAACTCTGCTGCAAGCTTAAACAGATAGTCCGTGAATTCCAGTTATCTGGTCATTGTTATCATCTAAGGATATAAATAAATCAGTAAAAAAAACGTAGCCTAGAATAAGCTTAGCAGCTATGCTCTCTACTGCTAAGTCAGAATCAAGTCAACCAGTGTAGTACTCCAGGTTTCTGCTTGTTAGAAGCCTGTAAAAGACTTAAGAATTAAGTAATATAATTGCATAGAGGAGCAAATCTCCCTTCAAGGGAATAATAACATAAACCACAGCGTTTGGCATTGTGTCATTCAGCAGACATTAGTCAATACCAGGGAGGACTCTGGAAACACTGATATGTCACTCAGAATACTCTCTTGACCGAGGTTTTGATGTTTTGCTCCAAAGCCCTCTACCAAACCCAGAGCATGCAGGAACCCCATGAGAAGCGTGGTCCCCCACACCTTTGGGAGAGCACATGCTCCAAGGCTGCTCTATCACTCAGCAGAGCTCTCTGGAGCAAGGGAAGAGAAGAAAGGTCAGCTTTCGTTCAGCCAGAAAATTCAGGCCCCTTCACACATCCAGCTGACTGGCTGTGCCCTGTGCAGTGCCCTTCCTGCAGAGCTGCCTCTGGCATGAGCCTGGGGCCAGGTTCTGCCAGGATGTGCAGGAGGGACATGGAAAATACCAGTGACAAACACTCGCTACTCATGCCCTTGCACTGCTTCCAGTTTGCCTCACACGGGACTGCCCTTTTCTCATGCTTTATCTTGCCATACTCTCACTTCCAGAGGGTAATTGTTTTGATGTGCTGATTTTTCTCATGTAGTATTTGATCTTTTGACAAAAGGCTCCAGCAGGCAGTTTTAGGAGAGCTGAAGTGCTGACTTTGCAATCCAAAATGAGCCAGTTACATCAGACAAAAGCCACTTTGTGCCATGACTAATATCAGATCCTCCCTACCAAATATTTCTTATGCAGAGTCCAGCCTTCTCTTATACAAAGAGAATTAAATTCTGTGCCTGTATTTCCTTCTGGCCTTTCTGCTGGGACACAAAATTATTCAAAACAAGCAGACAAGCTCTGGAGGCAACACAAGACACCACTAATAGCACTTGCTATCTAGCCTGCAAGACCCCTTTGCATTTCACTACTTGACTGCCCAGACGGCAGGAGCCAATCTGCTTCCCATAACTGCACCCCCAGTTGAGGTCCCTCTTTTTTTTCTCCCTTTACCAAGGAAGGTTTCTTACTCAGCTATAGGACAAACTCCAGTCTGTGCCCTCCTGCCAACACTGAATTTTTAGCTTTCCAGGCTTTTCTGCTTTTTCTGGCTTTAGCAGGAGGAGAACACCTCAGTCAGGCATGAATATCTCTACAAACCTGCTTTATGTACAGTGGTCCTGACTAACAGCTGCTGATGGATATTTCTCTTCACAAGGGCATCAGGTGGTGCTACAGACTTTAATCTGACCTTTGCACCTCTGTAAACACATAGAGGCAAATGCCTGATAATTGTAAAAACAAACCTCGGAGGAGGTAAAGCACTGCTCTGTTTATAAGCTTGTCGTTCTGTAAGTGAAACTAATGTACACACAGTTGTTCTGCTCCCAGGAAGCTCTACGCATCACAAAACACAATTAAAATATGAGTAATTTACCTATTTTATTGTATACCATTTGGGACAAAACAAGGTTACAAAGAGGAAATAAAATCCAAACCAATATATAGTTCCTACTGATACAAAGACTTTAATTCTAGGTTAAATCTGACTGGATAGCTATCCGTCTTGTAACTTCTGTTACTGTAAGGAAACCTGCCTTGCATCTCCCTCGACTGGCAGAATGCTGCATTTAGAAATAAAACATGCTTTGGTTATGGCTCACCATTCACATGTTTCTATGAATATTTTATGAAAGCAACGTAAGGTGTGACAAAAGGCAGTCTTCCTGGCTGCCACTGCAATTTCAAAACAAGTCTCCTATATGTTATTTTCTCCTTACTTGTATGGATGGACTTCTTGTGTAATAGCCATGCCTTCAGTTTTGGGGCATCTGTGACTATGTTTACCCAGAAAGACAGATGTACTCCACAGCAAGACCATAGCACATCTTGGTTCTCAGTCACCTTGGTTATGAGATCTCCTGAAAGCATTGTGACTCCTCCACGTGTCTAGCTTTCCAGGAGAGATGTGACCTGGGTTTTCACCTGACTTAATACCAGGATGGTGCTAGGTGGTACATCTGGGAATTGCTACCAGGCTCCCCTGCTACAAACTGCCTTGGGGACTGCCGGTGGAGACCTATTCATCTGTTTGAGAAGTAATGTGGGTATGAGGAGTTGCTGCCTTTCCTCATTAAGAGCTGCATGTTTTCACAGCAATTCGGCTGTTTCTGTTGTGCATCTCTGTCTATTTCTGCTCTCCCACACACAGCAAAACTAGCAATACGTACTTTTCAGTGGTGACAATGTAATTTGAAATTTAGAAATTAATTGCACGTTTTCCAGGAACACTAGAAGAAAAGTCCTCGCACTCCATCTATTGCATATTAAACAGTAAGGGGAAAAGCTCTGAAGAACCCTAAGGATGGTCCCTTCTGCTGATGCCACCTCTGGATTGGTTTCATTTTCAGTGCTGGGGCAGTTGCGCTGAGTTTCCTCGGACTGCACCTCTATAAAACTGCTCCACTGGCAGTGCAGGTTCGAGTGACTCTTTCCCCCAGTCACTGCGCTGTAGCAGAGCAACTTCTGAGTCCCCACTTGTAAAGAAAACAAAACCTTGCTTCGACTTCACAGGTGAGCTGGCAGCTTAGCTGATCAAACAAACATGGGGGCTGGCTTCTTCCCCCCGTTCTCCATGGATCAGGTGCCATGCCCAAATTTCTCAGAGCCTTCTCCTGGCACTTGCTTTAGTTCAAATAAAAGCTGACACTGATTTTTTCTTACCGATCATCCTTGTGACAGCAGAAGCCAGCTTCAGTCAGCTGACAACAGGAACCCTCCCCCTGAGATGTCTGTAAGCAACCAGCCAGCTGCTTTGAACAACTGCACAAAGATAAAAGCAAAGCAAATGCTTTAAATTCTATGCTAAGCCTACAGAAGTAATTAGAGAAGTATAATCAGCATAAAAAGCCATGCTGAAGATGACTGTTTGCATATGTGCTATAGACAGCAAAATCAAAATTATAGATATTATAGCACAGAATTTATAATAGAGATACAGAAACAAATCAGCAAGGCACTGTGGGACTGGCCTTAGAGCTAAAGATCTGAACATTTTTTTTTTTGTCTTTAAATGACACATTTTGTAACCAACTGTTATTTGGGACTAACTTTGTTAGCTACATTCACAATGATTTAAAAACAAAGGTACAATGACCTGAGGCTGGAATAGGTTCAGTTTTTCCACAGTTCCTTTTTCATACTGTATTTAGTCAAAAGATTACAAGTCCAGTGCAAAAAAAAAATAAAAATAAAAAATGTTCAGCTTCAATTGTTTGCAGCACAAACTATGCTGACCTTTTCCAGACAATTACATACAGCAGCAATGATAAGCAGTAGGGATCCCTATTAAAATATAACCCACGGCTTTTGTATGTGTGCATGCCTTCATTTTGGCCCACAGCTATTGGCTACACTGAAAAAAAAGATTTTATGAAGAAAAACAACAGATATGATAAATTCCAACTGCAATCAGCTTCCAAGTATGAATGGCAAGCATAACCACAGTTGAATCCCACATTTGCTTAATTGACCAGGGATGGTCTGAAACATCTTTTGTCCTTTATACTCGGCTCAAGCTAGGCACACTAGTAAAAACCCCATTAATCTGTTTTATGAGTCATAGACATCTTTGTTCTTTGTGCTTTGCTGACAATTTCCTTTATTTGAGGGTGGAGAACGAAGAAAGTTTCAACTCTTATCTAAGACCTTTTTGGCACCGTGCATGTGCCCTACCCAAGTGGCAGCATTTTCCTGTGCGACCTAATGCTGCGGATGAAATCAGCCGAAAACCTCAAGCAGGTAATGTAAATGACAGTGCTGAGCTTTAGTCTTTATAGGCAGTCTGTGTTACAGCTTCTCAGAGATCCTGTTGCTCTAGTACCGTGCCCACTGTAGATCCTCTTCCTCTTTTCACAGTCCTTACTACAAAGTGGAAGTAACTGAGAAGGCCTTTGGCTGTACCTTTTTTAGCATACAGGCGAGGCAGCTGCAGTTTTATTTTAACAATGAGTGTAGCTAAATATAGCACCTGGTGTTCGGATGCTGGAACACAAAAACAGTGACTACAGTTGGGAAATATGTTATATTGGGTTTCTGTTAGCAGACAGCACCATTCTATGGAAAAGCAGTGGCAGCCTCTCCTTCATACTCTGGAGAAGATTGGACTTCAGCTCACTGCTACTCCAGCTGACTCTTCCAGCAGTAGCAGATAAGCAGAAAATCCCCCAATTGCGTATAAGGATAACAACAAAAACAATATTTTTTTTCTTGAAAACAGGCTTGACGACACAATCAGTAATACATACATATTCATATGCCTCTCTTCGCAAAAAAAAAAAAAAGTCCTACTTTGAAAGAACACACTCTGGGAGGATGTGATGATTTTCTTCCACCCCTCCACCCTACGTAAGGCTGGTTTCCTAGCTCATAAATAGCTTTTACCCAAATTAATGCTGAGTAAATCAAGGGTCTGCAAGCCAGACACCTGAAAATTTCACCAAGCAATCAAGTGCTGATTTTTGCCTTCCCACACAATGAGATAGAATATGTGAACAAGGAGGCAAACATAAACTTCTGGTTTTCCAGTTTAGGTGGTACTAGCTGGATAAATGATTTTTATGTATCTCAGATTAGTTGTGCATATGTTGTACTTTTTTAAACTTGTAAAACTGTTCATATCATTACAGAAGTGTCTCACTGAAGAAAAACTGCTACCGGGGAACAACAACATATGTTATTACCATGAATTAATATGGTAATTAAACTTAACCAGAAACTCACAGGAATGAGGAATATGTTAAATGAAGAGAAAATAGGTTACAGTGTCATTAATTTTGTAAACAAAGAAATGCTGGAAGTGATATGGCTATCTTCAAGAGTGGTATAAAAAGTTAGAAGAAGATCTGTAACTTATTATTTGTAAATAATGGTGAAGAGGCATGTGCAAGAACAGCACAAATGAGACATTCAGCTGTTGCCAAGTGAGCTGTTTCAGCCTGACAATAAACCAGTAGCACTGATGTGCTGAGCTGATGTTTTCTTTAAATCCCATTGTGCACAGTTTAAAAAGTTCACTGCAAAAGCACTGGGCCAGAACAGAACTTGTCAGTTCTGATGCATGTTTGTCTGCCACCTCAGTCTCCACATGCATCCTCTCCTGCCCAGCATTATTTCTGAAGCAGAAAATTCATTACCATAAGACAAATGGATAAGCAAAGCTCTATTTTCCTTCTCATTAGCCACCCTTAGGATGGTGAGTAGAGTTAATGCAGCAGAGAAAAATACTGTGGATCTGAAGGTGTTTCAGAGTATTTTTAGCTGCTTCTACCTGCTGCTTCTCTGAGCCATCTTCAGCAGCACTGAAGAGGAAGTGGAAACGGGCTAAGAAGCTCTTGTCGAGAGCATCTGACAGAGGGTAATACATGATGACACTTCTGTACAAAGTTAAACCTCTGGAAGCCAATGGTTTTGTTGTTATGTTAGAGACAGAACGTGTTGTAAACATCTGATTTTTCTGGTGTTGCCCACTTTGGGCTGCCAATTCCTCGGCATTGACAGGCAACAAGACACATATGAGATTCAGCATGGTGGTGCCTACTCCTGTTAACTGCACAGCCTCTGGAGGATGTTGCGATAAAGTTTTGGTCCACTTCGCAGCTCTGGTAACTTCAGCTGAGAAGACTGACTGGTAGCCTTCCTGGTTCTGTTCTCAGGAAGACTGAAATTATTCCACTCCAGTGCAGTCTGCTCAAATCATCCACTGCATCAACAATGCTTGCATCCAAGGGTTTTATCCTGAACATTTTAGCTTGTTAAAAAAGATAGACCTTTGTAGCAGGAAAGTCAATTTTTTATAGTCTCAAGGACATCAGTCCACTTATCAAGCTATGAAAAGAAACAAGATGAAGAGAGTCTGATATTTTCAAAATCACAGCTCAGGAATATAAACAGGAATCTCAGCTACTAAATTCTCTGTTTTCATCACTAAACAATCACTAACTTTGCACAAAATACGGAAAGTCCTCTTTTGTACATTTACACCAAACAAAAATCATTTTGTGTATTCTGTACTCAAACACAAAGGCAATGGCACCTTGTAGGACTTGGCTAGTTAATTCTAAAAGGACAGCTCATTCCCCACAGCTACTCTGCCAACATTCACAGAAGCTACGTACAGCTTTCTTTGCTTTTCTCTGAAAGCTCATCAGAACTACAGGCCTCAGCTGTTCATAATGCCCCACTTCACAGCAGTCTCCTGTAGGAACCCATGCTAGCAGGATGCATCTGGAGGAAGGCGACTGAGGTGGCAAATATTTATTTGTCACTGAAAGCCCAGATGCGTGCAAACAGTTAGTTCTTACTAACGTGCAGAGAGAAAGAAGTTGTAGCTTTTTTAGTATTTTATATTTAGTATTTGTTTTAGTATTTTGAAAATGTTTGTATCTGCTGATATTGAGATATATATATATATACATCAGCAAATGTCAACTAGAACTGGTAATAGCAAAATACATAATAGTGGTAGAAGTGTCCTGGAGAGTTCTATAAACTTCACCTCTACTCTGAGATTTGGTCACATCATTCCAGCATGATTTCAACCACTTTCTTAGCTGGCTTTAAAATACTTAAGTCTTTCGCTGTATTCAGCAAAGCCCAAACTGATGCATAATCATCTTAATCATTAGGGTTTGACTAGGATTAGCACAAGAAATGAGATGCAGCATAAAAACTGGCAATGCAATACCTCATTAATTGATATATATTAATGGTTTTGATCCTTCCTCCACATCTACCCTAGGTAGTTTTAGCTTCTTTTAAGTCTTGGCAAGCATAAAGCTGCATATATAGAAGCTTCAGCTTGATTTTAAATTGATTGGTGGTGTTGCTTTTTACCTGTTCCGTGACATCTCAGCTTGGTTGCAGGTAATTCTGATATTCACTCCTTCCCACAAAAGCTTAAACAAATACATAGCCTCTTACAGCCTATACACCCACACATAAGCACCAGCAGAATCTGGGCCTTTACCTACAGGTTCTCACTCTCTTCCCTACAGATCACACTATTTTCAGAAGTCATGATGGCTTATTAAAAAGGATTGCTTTTAGGTACTCTCAAATTATTAACTCAACTCTACTCCTTGAAATAAGTGCACAAAAGGACACATGAGCAACAACAGCAAGTTCTGCTGAGTATATGGTACCTCATACATTCAATTTAAGCAGATAGATAAACCATCTCTCCTGACTTCAGGCAGAATACATCTTTAGCAGGCTGTATCTGTTCTGGAAGCCTGGCTTATCCTGCAGCATAGCTCACGGCTCTGGTCTCCCAGTTGCCCCTGTGTAATGCAGTCCTCTCTCAGCCCTGGGGCCTCAGATTCCTAATCAAAAAAAAATCTTGTTACAGGGGTTTGGAGGTACAGTCTCTGCACAAGACTTATCTCAACGTGGTCTCCTCTCTGACTCCAGAGTGCCAGACATAGCTAGGGGGGCTTGAAACTTGGGACATAGTGAATTCCTTTGCTGGGTCCTGCCTAGCACTCTTATCAGACAGCAGGGGCAAACTTAAAAAGCTTTTCCAATTACCGAAATACATAAGAAGGACATAATACAATAAAATGGAACAGCATACAACAAAAAGAAGGCAAAGTAATGACAGGAAAAGCAAGCAGTAATAGCTCTGGGATTTTTAACCTAGTAATAACAAGCCCCGTATGAGGAAATTTGGCCCTATCAGGATTGGTGAAACCTCACTCCAATCCCCTCCCCTCAAAAAAAAAAAAAAAAAAAAAAAGTAGGTGGGTTTGTTCTCATTTGTTTAAGCTCTCTGATAGCACTCTGGGCATTTAGGAAAATAACAGTGTAAAAACATATGAGTTGAAAAAATAGATGTGGGAATGACAAATGCATGAGCTATTTTGCCCAAATGGCACTTGCTTTCCACATTTCTTAAATTCTATGGAGAAGTTATTCACAGCTAGTGAGTGTTCCCAAGGCAGGTACAATTATACTAGTTTGTTTTATGAACTCAAATTTTATAGGCTCAAATGGAAAATGCTGTATTGTTTGGCTTAATGACTTTTCCTACACTAAGAAGACAGGAAAAGGGGGTGTTCCAGCTGTGGGGTTTGTATTTCACATACATACCATTTCTCCTCACATTTCTGTCTTTTTTCTTTTCTTTTCTTTTTTTTTTACTACCACTTAATTTTGCAAGGCAGTAAAAATTATAGTAAGTTTACTGTAGTAAGATGCAGTTAAGTTCTCTGTATTTCCTTTAGTTTGTAAGAGAAAAATACTACAAGAAAAGAATGCAATGTTGTGTATTCTCTTGCTCAGAATTACAGTGGAGATCTGCCCCCACAGATCCCAGAATTAGCAACAAATTCATATACAAACAAATACATGCTTATTCATAAGATGTCCTTTAAGGAAATAATAAAACAGATCTTGAATTCTTTAGGCTAAGTGCCTTCCTGCTTTTTCTTTCTTTCTTTTTTTTTTTTTTTTCCCCTGAGGAGACAGAAAGACAGAAGCAAACAAGAAGCAAGTAATTAACAGAGAACAGGAGGAAAAACTATTTCCTTCGGTAGTAAGGGGAAAAAAAAAAAAACCACACACCTGAAATGTCATTCCCTTCCTGCAACTAGCTTTAAATCACAACTTTTTTAAAAAAGGAAAGTTCAAGTGTCAATCAACCAATGAATTTGTGAAATATGTTATCAATTACTGTAAATTGAACCATGAAATAATTTAAACTTCATTTAGTTTCTTCTCATCTAGACTATGACAGCAACTCCTCAACTTTTTGCTTTTTTCCACGCAGGCAGTATCTCAGCTTCTCCAATGTTATACTTTTCTCCAGCAGTGCTGTACAGACAGCTGCAAGGGAAAGACACAAACATCCATCTTTCAGGAACCAAACTCAGGAAATCAACTTGGTTCACCAAAAAAGTGCACGAGGATAGCCAAGCATTTCTGTGTCACGATCCAAAAAAAAGCTGTATGAGCTGAGGAGGGAGCCTCGTGAGCTAGCTAATAGGCATCACCATGCATAAAGACACAGACTGTCATCTGTTCCTAAACGGATGACGAGATAAACCACAGGAATGATCCAAAAGCAGGAAATCCACTCTAATGCTGGAATTTATTATTTGAAGAACTGCACAGGGCTTTTAAAAGGGAAATAAGAACACGTTTCCTATGCACCTTCTTAAGCGCCGTGGCGGACACTTGACTAATTGGATTAATTTGTTCCTGAGACCACAGATGACTAGTGATTATTTTAATTGTCCCACGTGTGAAAGGGGACCTTTTGGGTATCTCTGAAGATTAACTTGAAACATAAATACCCATGCTTGAAAGACAGGCATTGAATGTCGTATGGGGGTGAGGGGATAGGGTCTTATGGGTCATATTGCGAGTCTGTGGGGAGGCAGGAGGTAACAGGCAGGCAACGTGTTCAGGTGAGTTTAAGGTAGAAAAACCATTTTGTTCAAAGCAGAAACAGCTGCTAACACTAACAAGGGACGGGAAGTCTGGATTCTTGGGCTATAGGTAGCACTCACTGCTAAGATATACTTAGATTAAGTAGTACTATTATGACCCTGTGGAGGTGTAAATTAATTCTGTGTATTCCCTTATTTAAAGCACTGCATGGTTTCTGCTACCATGATTTTTTGTTTATATAGCTCTGTCTTTTTGAGACTGGGCAGTGTCTACCACAAAGCACAAAACAGTGTTTTTCCATACACACAAATGTCTTAGTGACTTGAACTTCTTTGGGTCATTGAGTCCATAGCCAGACTGCAAAGACCTCTGTGAGGCCACTGTCCATCAAGCCATGCCTGGACCCAAAGCATTCATTTAACAGCTTTGAAGCTGAGCACAACAACAGTACACTTCACAATGTGTTCTGGAGCAACTGCTTCTTGTATTCTGCTACAAACAACTCAAATGGCACATGCCTGCCTAGACTGTAGACTGCTGAAATTGCCAGCAGCATTTTCCATAGCATCTTAATGAAGGATTTTAACATGGAGATCCAAGTGACAAATACAGAGATATTTTTGTTATATCAATGCAGCTCAGAGGATTTTGCCCTTATGTGTTGTATCTAGCATGCATACACAAAAATCATTAGGAGTGAAATGCCTTCGCAAATGGCTGCTAAATTCTCACCACATTTGTCAGATCTGCTAGCCTCTTTCAAGAATTCAGCTACACCCTTACTGTGTTTATGAAACTGAGTGCTTACATAACCTGTGCTATATAACAGGTGGAGACTTAGAAGACCATAGAAAAAAAAGTAGCTCTTGTTAAGCCTTGGTTTTCTTCCCTGCTTTAAAGTAGTTGTTTCTAACCTGAGCCCTCAGCACAGCACATAACCCGAGGTTACCACGTTGGATAAACTCCGAAATTCCTAAATCATGTCACTTTTATACTTCATACACTTCTGTGTCAAAATTACTGCTCCTTGAGGCAATTGGTCCCATTTGTGTTTCTGGAACAGGTGGCCTTGTGGCACATGCTGGAAGAGGCTTTGGCAGAATGGTTCAAAGGGCATGAAGGAAAACATCTGCTTGTAGCAGCGATCACACAGCGCAGGATTCCTGCTGCAAGGAAAGGAGGGCAAACACACACAATGACACGTATGACTGTTTACCACAATCCTTACAGGAAAGATATTTTTGGAAAGCTTGATTCCAAAACAACAAGACATGCACACTTGAACCTGAAAGGAAGATTTTTTCAAGGAAAGAGGAACTTTCCACATTTCTACTGTGTAGACAATGTCAGTACTGGAAATGTAACAAACAGCACACTGTCTGAAAATGAAGGCATTTCAAAATTGTTTTACTTCTTAAGGGTTTAATAGTTTGTAGAAATTAGCTATTTTTCCTTAGAGGAGAAAATACAAACAGCAACTAAAATATTAGGTAGGATTTGTTCAGATAATATAGCAAATGGTACCAGTACCTGAACAGTTAAAACACATAATCACATATTCCTGTTTTATAGAATAAAACACATCCAATATATGACAGGAGAGACTAAATTGCATTCATTTAAACTCAGAAGGATGCAGCTTGATCAAGTAGTATAAATTGAACGTGGCTTTTGCTTAAGAACTGGTTTAGTCAGTTTTTCTCCCTCCTTCCTTCCTCTCTCTCTAAAGAGCAGAGATGAATAGAATTTAGCATCAGGGGAAAGAACATACAAAACCAGCCCTAAATTATCATCTTAAAATTGAGCTACTTTGTCCTTATAAGTAAAAATAAAATAAATAAATAAAATAATCAGACTACAAAGGTTTTTCAAAAGGAACAAACACTTCATTACTGAAAATGTCACTTTACCAGAAACAGGAAAGGTATTCCGTGTTTTCTAAGCAGTAAGCCAAATATTTACATTAAAGTAAAAGAGACTTAAAACATTCAAAACAGTTTCATGATGAAATGCAGATATAGGAGAAACAGGTTTCAAAAAATAGGTGGTAGACAGTGAAACTTGAATCTCAGCGGTTTAGTTACAAAGACAGATTTCTCAGCTGTTATCAAACATATATTTTACTATATATATTACTAGAGGAATCAAGAGCTACAGGGAAGACCTATATAACTTTCATTGGATACCTCCACTCCATAGCATACATACTGTATAAGGTTTTATTTTTAAAAACAACAACAAAAAAACCTTTTCAGTGTAACTGCAAGGCCCACATAGAGGCCTATATTGTATACTGCTACAACCAGGTTGCTTTCAGCTTTTATACTAAACTAGATATTTCTAGCCCATGATGTTCTGAGGATGAACTCAGAAAAATAGCTGTCTAGACAGAAAACAAAACCACAACACCCACCTTACTAGCAAGGATAGTATAGTCTTCTGAAGTAGGAATTAAAGAAAATAAACCATTAATTGAAGAAGATGAATGCAAAGATTTAACACATAATAGAAACTTTAAACCATTGCAGTAACTTTAAAAAAATGTTCCAATGAGTGGAACCAAATAAAATACAAAACAATAGTTAAAAGAAAAAAAACAAAACAACAACAACAAAAAAAAAAACTACACAATATTTAGCCTAAAAATGCCATAGGGTCAATACTAACAAAGAAGACCTCTTTGTAACCTACCTACTCTGACATCACTAGATCTTTCAAAGGATAAAATATCTTAAGAAAGCCACTGCTTATATACAAGTAATTCAACACCCTGGATGGTGGGTAGCTAGCTCTTTAACACCTGATCCTAATAGAAGGCTGCAAGTTCCAATTCTACTGGTGTGAGTTTCTCCAGAAGAAAAATAAATTGGTGTTAAGGCAAAATACATGAAACTGCAAGTCTTAAGGAAGAGAATCCATAAGACAAGAGAAAAATAGTAAAGAAGAGATCACTCAGAAAACTGTAGAAAACTGTAGAAAAGTTAATTCCTCAAGATTTAGTTATTAAGAAAAGATACTCAGAAGAGAATTATCAATGACTACCTATAGTTATAGGTGTTTAAATTAATGTATTTATTATATATAGGTATATATAGGTTATATTATATATAGGTATTTAAATTAATGTACTTACATATTCCTTTTATCATTACCACGAATCTGACTGACAGCCTTCTTTTATTCTGCTGATATATGCATAAAAGTAGTTGGGCTTCCACATGACCTAGGAAGAACATGTTAAAGGTTGTTGCTGTGGATTGCTTAAAAAGGGTTACCAAGAGAACAAAATATCCCTCTGTTTCTAATAAACAGAATTATGCTAAAAAACTACCAAACAAATGAACAAAACCCAAACATTTCTTATAAGATGAATAGGTTCTCTTTAATGTTTTTGTAAATGACTTAGATGCAGGACTCAAATGTATACCAAGTTTGCAGATGACTCTGAAGTGGGAGCAGCTGTTCACTCACTCCATTGAGGGTAGAGAGGCCTTGCAGGGAGATGTTGGACAAATTAGAGAGCTGGGCAGTCACCAACAATATGAAGATTAACGAGGCAAGTGCTAGATTCTGCACCTGGGAAGGGGCAACCTTGGCTGTATGTACAGACTGGGGGACATGAGGCTGAAGAGCAGCCCTGCAGAAATGGATCTGTGGGTTCTGTTTGACAGCAAGCTGAATATGAGCCAGCAGTGTGTCCTGGCAGCCAGGAGGGCCAACCATGCCCAGGGGTGCATCAGGCCTGTGCATTGCTAGCTGGATCATCCCGCTCCGCTCTGCACTGGTGGGGCCTCACCTCAAGTACTGTGTGTGGTTTTGGGTGCCACAGTATAAAAAGGACATAACACTATTAGAAAGTGTACAAAGGAGGGCTACAAAGACTGTGCAGTATCTCAAAGGCAAGACATATGAGGAGCAGCTGAGGCCCCTTGGTTTGTTCATCCCAGAACAGAGCAGGCTGATGGGAGGCCCCATGGCGGCCTGCAGCTCCCTCAGGAGGGAGCAGGCGCTGAGCTCTGCTCTCTGGGGACAACGACAGGACCTGAGGAAACGGCATGGAGCTGGGACAGGGGATGGTCAAGCTGGGTGTGAGGGAAAGGTTCTGCATCCAGAGAGTGGTTGGGCACTGGGACAGGCTCCCCAGGGAAGTGGTTGCAGCACTGAGCCTGATGGAGTTCAAGAACTATTTGGACAATGCTCTCAGACACAGGGTCTGATTTTTGGGTGGTCCTGTGTGGACCCAGTAGTTGGACTCAATGATCCTTGTGGGTCCCTTTTGAGTCAGGGTTCTGTGTTTCTATGATTAATCTATAAACTGCACGTTATCTTATGGAATTATGCTTAGAGTGGCACTCATATCACAATACACTTTTGCTATTTTAACAACTTTTCACTTAAAGCTTCTTCAAATGTACATGTAGATTAATATGAAGAAGAAAACACAATCTATAAAATCATATTTCTCTTTATTAACTGTCCTGAAAGAAAATAATAAATTTTGGACACAGAAAGATCTTTGGATGGTGTACAGCATCAGGAAGTGTAGTCAAAGTATTTACAGATGTTAGTGGAAGAGAAAAAACAACAAAACAAAGTATAAAACTCTTCGGAGGGAATGTGAAAAAGGAACTATAGCAAGTTTATACTCACAGTAAGAGAAATCTTTATAGTAGCAGAAGTCAGATCCCAGCTGCCACGGTGCCTTATAACCCAAGCTAGTGCTTTAAGTCATGCAGACATACGGCAACAATCGCTGCTACTGGCAGGGAACAAGTGATACCAACATATAGAGAGCATTTACAGAAGGAAAAGCTGAGTGACTGAGACCTGGTAATTGGCTTTGCAGAGGTTGTTCTGGAGCTGCACATATCCTACATAAACTTCTTTCCTAAAAGATCTTCGTTATTGAACAGACTGGTTGTAAAGAGATCTAATTTGCATCCTTAAGAAGAAATCCTTAGGCTGCAGTGCTTTAATGTCTCTTCTGTCCTGCAAAGCACAGAGCATCAGAAAATAGCACAGAACATGAGAGCCAGCAAAGGTTACGTAGTAGATTCTGTAGCCTGTTTGGACTCTAGCTCATTCTAAATATACCCTCAGAACTGGAAATAATACTGCTGCTTGATGCAGTTTGTGTCATCTTCAAAGACCAAATGGGGGTTAACAGTTGTTATCAGTTTGTACTACATGCTTTATATCTCATCCTCTTCAAGAAAATCATGATTCTACTGACTGACCATACCATATCAGCTTGTTTGTGAGCCTAAAACTTCAACTTACTGCAAAAATATTACATTAATTTACAGGAATCTTTGCTGGTGGAACTAGCCCTTTCCCCTTCTCACAGCTCAAGTATGAAAGCATTGTGAGAAAATAAGCTTTCGCGTGTTCAAATATTATTTAAAATTAAAGATAAATTTGCATCTTTGTTTCCTCACATCGGGAAGAAATATAAAGATCAGATCCTATGCCTTGGTGGATGCCATGATGGAAACCATCACCGAAACCCTGCAGTTCAGCTGGAGTTTCAACTGATTGAAAAAGTAAGAGGTACTTCTGGCAAACAAACTTCCAATGTATGTTGTTAGATGAGGTCATAACTGCAACACCTGCACAACCAAACGCATTCCTTGCCTACGAGCATTCTTGGTGATAGAAACTTGGTACCGGGAATAAAATGATTAATTGCACGGTATTACCAAATTCTGGTGAATAGTGAAAGCAAGAAGGAAACAATTTCCAGGGCTACTTTTTTACTCATACCAACTTTGTCACAGTAACTAAATGTGCCTAGGCTTCAAAGCATAGCTTTTTGTCATTGATAATACTACTCACCTCCTTTCTTATAGAATCATAGAATCATAGAATATCCTGAGTTGGAAGGGACCCTTAAGGATCATCAAGTCCAACTCTTGACACCGCACAGGTCTACCCAAAAGTTCAGACCATGTGACTAAGTGCACAGTCCAATCTCTTCTTAAATTCAGACAGGCTCGGTGCAGTGACCACTTCTTTTCTCCTTAGTTATATTTTCACCCATCTGCTTCATCACATACTGGCAGTAGCTGTGGCCCCCTTCTTCCAAAAGCTGTCCTTGGTAGAATGAGCAGCAAGGTTTTAATTGCTCCTTGAAGACTTTGTTTGTAGCAAATAAAAAACTATTTGTCTTTTCTTTGCTTATCCAAACATCCAAAGAATTATTCTGTTTCTTGAAAGTTTGAGAGCTCACAGATAAAATGGGCAAAAAGTTACACTCAGGCAGGAAATGAACTACAAGGCTTTTACTTCAGAAGAGGAATTGGAGGACACTGAGTACAGAGCATATGCCTCCATAGCTCAGACAGCTGCAAAGCCAACTCTTTTCCTCCAGCTGCTCACATCAGGATATGTTCAAGTTAGATACAGTTATCTAACCGTAGGTTTAGGTTTACAACTTCTAACCTTTATTGTTCTGCTGTATGTTATATACCTCTTCAGGCAAAACCATAGAACATGCATGTTTTTTAAAGATTGCATTCTTTAAAAGTAAGTGTTAAGATAACCTGTGACATGGTTTAGTGGGTGATACTGGTGCCAAGGGGATGCCAGATAGACCAGATGATCTCGGAGGTCTTTTCCAATCTTAATGATTTTAATCTCCTTCTGAGGTAGATGCTTCCTGGTGGAGGCTATGGGCAGAAGACAGAGTGAGAGAACTGCTAGTGCAAGCATTGCAGTATGAGCATGGTAAACGTAGGTGCCATTACTCACACAATCAGATAACCAGATCCAGTACTTTTTTTTTTTTTTTTTCAGATGCGTTGGCTTTACATGTGAAATGATAAGGACTGTGTTCTTGTTAATCACAATTCCAGACAAAGAAGAGCCGGTAACCACAAATAATTGAACTCAGTTTCACAGGAAGTCGGTGACATCTTCAGATCAAAAGATCAGCAAGATTGAAAAAAAATAACTTAGTGTTTCTGGAAAATTTATTAGCTTTATAATGACTAGAGGCAAAAAACTGTATCACTGCCTGAAGGGTAGAGCCAACTGAAAACCATTAGGAATTAGGAGGAGCTCCAGCGTGAAGTGCAATTATCTCACAGCTGTCCTAACAGGAGGTTGCTTCTATCTCATCTGAAGATGCTAACTGTAATGAAGTCTAATTTTGGAAACAGGAAACTACATGGGCCTGACATGATGTGTGGCAATTCCAGTGAGGTAAAGTAGGCTTTCCCTCCTAGTTCTGCATTCCTGAAAAAAAATATAAATACATGTCATTTGGTACAAACTGATTAAATAGAGAAGTACATAGTGCTGCTGATTAGCAATGGTTATAAACAGACACTGTTAGAGGACATCCTTTAGGCATGTGAACAACTTCCTATGTACATACACTTAGCATTAATGACTGCGCCAAAAGGCACGTGCATGTATTCAGTCTTTTATCTCCAGAAAAGGGGAAGCTGCTACAAGCAACATAATGTTGACTCTGTAAACGTTAACAGCTAGGAAAAAAAAAATAAATAAAATAAATCTTGCAATTCAAGTATTTAATGGGAAAAGTTTATCCTTAACTTAAAACACAGCATAAATTTAAGATATTAAGCTTACTAGAGTTAAACTCCTTATTGCCGCGGGTGAACTCCCAAAATTATTTGAATAGGAACCGTCAAGGAGGAAAAAATATTACCATCGGTTCGCGCACTGGTGAGGGTGATTCACAAACTTGGTGTCCTTCCACTTTTCCAACCGGCAAAGCCCTGCGAGGGCTGGGGAAGAGGCACCAGCCCCGCGAGGGGGGTTTCTGCCGGCTGCGGGCGCGCACAGCCCGGGAGCTCTCCCCGGCGAGGGGACGGGGCCACTTGTAGGGCGCGGCTCCCCGCAGGCTCCGGGGGGCGGCCCCGAAAGCTGCCGGCGGGGCTCCCCGCTACGCCTCGGTCCCGCCCCGCCTGGGCGGTGGCCGGGATCGGGGCTGGGGCTGGGGCCGGGTCGCGGAGCTTCTCGGCGGGCGGCAGCCATGCGGGGCGGCGGGCTTCTCCTGGCGGCGCTCCTCGCCCTCCTGGCACCTGGCAGAGGTGAGGAGCGGCCGGCGGGGTCCCCCTCTCTGCCCCGCCGGCGGATCGCGGCACCCCTTCCCTTCCCTTCCCTTCCCTTCCCTTCCCTTCCCTTCCCTTCCCTTCCCTTCCCTTCCCTTCCCTTCCCTTCCCTTCCCTTCCCTTCCCTTCCCTTCCCTTCCCTTCCCTTCCCTTCTCGCCCCGCAGCACCCTTCTTTTCCCTGCCTCGCCGTCGGGGCGCGGCGCTTTCCCCGTTCCCGTAGTAGCCAGCAGCGGGGCTGTGGCTGTGGCTGTGGCAGCGGCCGCGGCTCGGCTTCCATTTTAGGCAAGCAGGCAGGCTGACGGTAACTTCGGGCAGCGGCTCCGTGCTGGCCAGGAAGCCTGCCAACCCGCTCTCTATTATTGCTGTGGCAGAACAGCGGTGTAAAGCACGGCAGCGAGTTTTCTGAGAGCTGCTCGGAGTGTCCGGGAGGGTGTCTGTGCCGTAGCGTGGTTGCATTGGAGCAAAAAACACTCAGCGAGTTCCCAGTGATTCCCCCCCTCTCCGCACACCATTTGGGAGCTGATGGCCGGGCTCCTAAAGCTGGGAAATGCCGTGCAAGCTGTCATTTCCCACTTCTTTCTAAGAAACTTTTTTTTCTCGACCCTCTTTAAGACCTCACGCTATGCCTAGGTGCTTTCTTTCAAGTTCTCTGTAAAAGCTTAACTCTCGTTATCTTTTCACCACGGAAGGGAAGGAAAAATAACCTGTTCCCCGCTTTAGCTGGAAGCTGTAGGTATGGCAGGATGCCAGCTAAGCAATTCGCCTTCAAGCCTATATGAATGGAGTTGTACTGCTGTCGTCTTAGCTGTGAGGCTAGCAAATCCAGGCACATAGAAAAATAGTACCATTTTATAGTCACTGACTCTAAAACTTGGAGATGATTCATGCTGTTGACACTGAGATATCATCTTACGACTTATTTGGAAAATGCGCTCCTCTGCAAGCAGTCCCCGCAGTCCTGGACAGCAGGGTCTTTTGTGAGGCTCTTACAGTGTGGAAGTCTTTGGAGTTGCTCAAAAACAGCACTTCTAAACTTACTGCCTAGCAGTTTGGAGGTGAATACAGGCTGTCCAGTTCCTGCTTTAGTGGAGGGCAGGTGTGCAAAACACAGCTTCAGGGGGTTTGCTTAGAATTCAGAAGAAACCGATGCTGCATTTTTTTACAGATTGCTTCCAAAACTGAGGTTAATTTATCAGACCACTAGCCAATGCTGGTAATAAATAGATTATAATTAGTTTGGACTCTTCTTCTTAAAGAAAACACGCAAGAATTCAAGAACTGTCGAGAATGTCAGCCTGGGGAGGGTGGAGCCGCTCAGGAATTTCAGATGTGTGGTGGTGCAATTTTGGATTGAAGTAAAGGGAAGAGAGCCTGAATTGTATCCTTTTGAAAATTTGAATTTCTCTGCTGGTAGGCTGTCTGTAGTCTGAACTGACAGAACTGCTATAGAAAGCTAAGGATCTTACGCTGTGAGTAGTTCAGCTGCCATGCAACTGTTTGGATGGGACTAGTTCCCCTGGACTGCTGGCTTTCATAATTCAAGCCTGCAAGTCTATGGCCTTGAGAGTAAGCTTGTATTGAGTCATATATTTTAGGCACATGAAAGCTGTTAAGAGTTCAAACAATATTCAGCATGGGAATATTTGAGAGCTATTAAACAATGGTGAACTTTGAACTTGCTTAAGGGCTTGCGATTTTAACCGTGCAATTGGTATGGAAGTGTTGTTTTTTTTTTCACTTGCCAAATATGAACTCTGCAAATCAGGCAGAGCTGGAATTTAGATACCATTGGGGCTGAACCCAGAGGAAGGGTGAACGTGAGGTTTTTGTATCATTACTTTACATATCCAGTCTAATGGCTTGCTACCGCTAAGAAGCGGGATCTGTCCATTTCTCTCCCTCTGTGGTTGGTCTGGTGTCCATCAGAGCGATGATTCAGCTTGATGAGTCGGCAGATGACTAATGCTTCCTTGAGTCTGCTGCAGAGGGTTTGAGGGGTGGCAGCGCAAGGGAGGGGCAGGACTAAACATCAGGGTGGAAATGAAATGGGGGGGGCAGGGGAGGACGGAGACTTCCTGCTTGGGCTGCTCGTGGGATTGGCTCAGCCATCTTAACTCTGCAAAACCACCAGGTTAGCCCAGCATCTAACTTCAGGCATCTGGATTTCAGAATCCAGTGACAAGAAGTACTAGGTAACAGGATATCTGCACAATTTATGTGAAGAGCACGGAACCTTAGAAGGTGAATTAAAAAATAAAAATACCTTGCATGATAAGCAGCAGAAAACTGCTAGAGCTTGCACGCAGACAGAAGGATCAGTTTCCCTTCTGTACTGCTGAAAGATCAAGACATACTAGGGCTTGGATTTGGGAATATGTGCCGGAAGTATTTTTCACAAGAATTGAGTACAGCTTGCTGATTGAAACGCAGTAGCCACTAGAAGTAGTTGTGGTAGTGAACACGAGGAGATTGGAGAAAATACGTGCTCAGAGCTGATGTATCTGTGTTGTAAGATCAGTAGCCTAAGGTAAATTACAGATGGAGATCCCTTCTTCCTAAGACTGCGGTAACTATAGGGCTATGAGTAGAGGGAAAGAAATGGGTGTGTTCCTAATCTCTTGCTGGGGCAAGTCAGTGTTGAGAAGAATGACTGGTTTGTTGGGTGAACGGAGGTAAAATGAGTGATCTTGTGGATAGAGCACTTGTCTGGAGCAGGGACTGCTGGAGACTGATCTCTGCCTTGTGGTCTCTGCAGTTTGCCTTTTAAATATCATTAAAGGAATAAATTTTTCTTTCAATTAAACATTTTTAGTAGTAGTGCTAGGGTGCATAAATTACAGCATGAATTTGAAAAGTGCAGCACGTACTCTTCCATGTTTGTTTCCTCTAATTTGAGACGGGTACGAGCTTTTTATGTGTTGTTATTTATATAAAATGGCCTCTGCATTGCTCCATCAAAATAACATCACTGCAACAATCTTTTAAGCTTTCTGTAGTTACAGTGCTGCAACTTGGCAAGAGATAAGTGTGACTCAGCCTACTGCTGTCCAGCCAAGACCAATTTCAGTATTTTCCTGATGTGACTCTGGTATGCATGATGGGGTTGCCTGCACTTAAGAAAGGATTCAGAGTTAGCTCTTGCTATTGTGAACCTCACTCTGCACTAAACTTGTATTTCATCAAGTGACAGCTGTGTTAGTGAAATATTGTAATAATAGTAATCTTTATCAGTTAAGATCATCTTGACAGGGGACAGCTTCTTTCAGTCAAACTGTTTTTCCCTGTTCTGGCACAGGAAACTCCTCTTTGCAGTCTAGTAAAAGTGTTTTGAGAGAGTGTCATCAGCAAAACAGTCTCAACTCAGGGAATTTTTACTTAACTTACTGTCAGTTAATGCAAACTGGATCATGGATTCAGGTATTGACACAAAGAATGAAACACTTAGGCTGTTCTCCCTTCCTTAGGCTCAGCTTGAGCCCAGAACCTCTCACCCTCCTAGTCTCAAATGCCCTGGTTTTCGCTGGTTGCACTCAGTCTGTGCCTGTTCACCAGCATCTCCTTGCATCTCCCTGCCCTAGCGGGCGCTGCTGTTTAAGTGTATTTGAGCACATGGTGCTCCACAGGCCAGGGGAAGGTGTGACGGGTTGTTTCAGTGCTGACTGGACAAGGCTGTGACCAGCATGGGGCAGGCTGTGGCCGCCTCCCACACAGGGCACCCCTCGGCCTTCTGCAGCTCACACCCTGCCCAGGCCATGCCCAGTACATTCTTGAGAAATGTGTATCTAAGAGCTGTTTGGGCATGCACCTAACTCTAAACTCTTCTTTTAACATCATCGTGACATTAATAGTGTTCATTGCTAACTTTACCCTACCTCCCTTCTGTTGTGTTAAAGGGTAAGGAAGCTTGGCAGGCCCCAAGCCCCTCTGCCTTCCTTGCAGCTTGTCCTCAGCTATCAGGTGGGCTGGGGGCAGCTGGGCCTAGGTTCTGAGTGATGACCAGCTCAGCACTAAAGCCCAGGTGCATTCAGTATATTGATTTACCACGATCATGGATGCACAGGTAGCACGATACACCTTCAGTCTAGTAGATTAATGACTGGTGTAGTTAATTGAAGCAACAGGAGTACGGGCTCTTCTGAATTGCTGGTGATAAATACCCTCTCTACAAAGCATGTGCAAATACCAGGAACATGACTAACACAACCAACTACATATAAGTTATGAAACATCTTTACAGGGAATGGTAGGTTTCCCAGGGAAGCACTCGGTATAACTGAGGGTTCAAATCTCATCCAGTAGGTGTCCCTATGGGGGGAAAGAGATTCAGCCCATTGACTGATGCCAGAAGTCAGATATGACCTCCTTACTTGTCTGTGATGTTAGCTCCCTAACACTTTTTGTTTTTTTTTTCTTGAGGGATTTTTATACCGTTTTCTTACTTTTAGGCGGAGCTTGAATGACTGTAGTCATACGTACCTTCCTTACGATTGGTAGAACATTTTCTATTTTTTTTTTCTTTAAAAGTATAGGCTCAGAAATTCTGGGTGCATGCTCACAGAGGGGTGGCTCCACCTTGGAGGAGGGTAGACAGAGGTGTGTTTTGGCATTATAGTGAGCAGAGTTCACCTAGAGGACATAATTTTGCTATTAGTTTGGGTCAGGGCTGGCCATGTAATCTCTCAGTTCCATAGTAGCAGCAGGTTCCCCATCCCTGCAGTGATAGCACAGAGCCTGGCGGCAGTGTCTTTGCTCCACCCTCCATGCTATTTCTCTTAGAGTCTGCACACCAAGCACCCCTGGTGTTGCCAATACCTAAGGCTTCAGGTTATGTAGCCAAGGGGATTATCCAGGGACAGATTCCTTACATATCTGCCACATCTCACCCTGGAAGTTTCCTCAATGCTGAACCTTCTCTTGAGATGTGACCATACCTTTAATCACAGTAAGTCACCTCCAGCAACTATTCCACACCTTCAGA